AAATCATCAAGAACATCCCTAACTCTTCATAGACAGACATCCCACGCGTGGGTTTAAGACCATATTTATCAGTTAGATCTTTGCTTAAATCAAGAAACACTGACTTCCTCAATCTAAAATTTTCATAACACCGAGTCTCATTTTTATGTAATATCTCTTAGATAGATATATTCCCAGTGCGTTTAGATATACGATACGGTTCCTTACAAATGTATTTCTCATAATATATCAATATACTCTTACATGTTATTCGACATAGTACCATCCGTTCCTTATTTTCTTGAGTTTCCTCTTCTTCATTTTCGTCATTTAACAAGTCATTGTTCCAGCATTCCATTAAACTGAAATGAAACAGACATACAAACTATTACGAATTAAAAATGACAAATGATAACTTCAAAGTAGATAGTATAGTCATCTATTAAAATAAAACACGTAATGTCTAAACAAGAAATGATTAAACCACCATTATGTATAAACAGGAAATAAAACATTAAGAAAATGTAACCTTCTGTACATACTTTAAAGGACAAGTTAAAACATCTAATGCTAATGTAATATGGGTAAGGCATCATCAACAACTTCTCAGATTGGATTAGATGGATTATTCGGCACGAAGGATCATCGGTGGTTGTACTCCAACCAAGATTTCCTAACTTCATCGGTAGACAACTTCAAAAATGCATGTCGCATCTCTTTCTGTGTCAACAAGTTCACAGCACAATTAAAAATATCACTCCCTTCAAGAATACCAGGAATATTTTCTAAAATATCCATGCACTTCTCAATGGTGGGCTCTGAAGACCTAGATGTACTGTTGTTATATATGAACTCAATAAGGGAGTGTATCTCCTCTTTTAGTGATAATGAATTATTTTTTGTCTTGCGCTTTTTCACTTGACTGCTATTGCCACTGCCATCTATTGACTTTCGCTTTCTAAGCGATGGCTCAGAAAACGTAATTGAATCCATATTCTGCAAGTCATGACTTTCATCGCTTCTTTCATCATTCCATTGTTCTATGTCATTATCATAAACATCATTTGTTCCATCATCATCTTGATCTAACCCAACTTTCGACTCTTGTTCTTGATTTGCTGCACGTGCTCTCTCTCCGGTGGCAATGATATCAGTAAATAAAGCATCGTAACGAAACCATATCAGCGAAAAGATCTTTGTTCCTAAATTTTTTGTATTTAGAATTCTCCTGTAAAAAAAAATTTAAAATTACTCTAAGCAAACAAATGAAACTAAAAATTAATAGAGTTATGAAATAATTATAGAAAAGGGCAAGCAATGTACCTTAATTTTTTGCTCCCACCAATCATCATCTGCAATAATTATTTTTCTTGTGGGATCCCATCCTAAACCTGTCTCACCTCTCATCAACTGCTTAAAAAAAGTCCACTCTGCTTTCATGTGATCCCAATAATTTTTTATTTGTTTTCTAGTATATTCTAGTCCCGTCTTCTTATTGAACTCATTTACCATATTCTTCCATCCATCTTTAGACAAGTAAGTATTTGGCCTATTTCCTTTTCTAACTTCTTGCTCACACAATTCAATGAATTTAATATGTGCATATTCGTCCCACTTAGCATTATGTCGTTCTCCCATAATTGAATGTTAACAATCTGAAGAGATTACAAGATTTAGCTATAAACGTACACATATAATAATATTTATGCACAACTCAAAATAAACAAAGTTCAAAAGAACGCCTTCTTATTTTTGTATGTCACATACTTTTGAAGTATAAATAATATTCAATATTATAATGAGACCAACTGTCTTAAACTTCTAGTGACTAACAAAACAAGAGAAAGCATGTGTTGTTATATTTGAGCTTCAGAGGGTTGTAACTTCCAATAAATTTANAAGAAAGCATGTGTTGTTATATTTGAGCTACAGAGGGTTGTAGCTTCCAATAAATTTATGTTCCTACTCGACTCCTTCTTTCTCCTCATGAGTTGTGACCGTGAATAAATTTCACAAACAAGAAACTTTATGTATAACTAGGTATCTTTCGTATTACATCCAAAATGTGTTTGCTGGTATTCATCAATGCATGAAGAAAGGGATACGTGTAGCCTACCTCCTTATAACATTAATAATATACTCAACTCTAAATAAGAAGTCATGAGAAAAAAAAATATACAAGACAAGAAAACTCGTGCGTAAAAGCGAAAGGCTGGCCTGTTTTGTACCGTCACTTTGATTACACGCAGAAAAATACTGCCCGAGAAATATAAATTTGACAAACAACAAATACTTAGTAAAGTTTAAAACATATGGGATGAAAGGGACAAAAATAACTTATGATTTAGACCCCAAAACCAAAAACTGGATTCATTAAGCTTTCAATTCTTTTCATCTTATAGTCACATCTTGTCTTGATAGAAACACGTAGGAGGATTTGTAAACATATCTTGATAGAGTGTTTAAAACATAAAAAAATTACCTGTAATTTGTCTGATAGTTGCAGAGAAGAACGAAAGAAGCACGTAAAGGAAGCAATGGCACGACTGGAGAGGCAACAACTGTTTAGGTTTTATGAAGAATCGGGATAGAGTAAAATTATACGAAGAGTTTTGTTTTATAAAGAAGTATTTTAGGGATAGAATAGTAAATATTTTGGTCAAACCTAAAGTGCTTATAAGCTAAAATTTGATAAGTTGGGGGAGACCAACTTATGGCTTATGGCTTATTTTTGGCTTATAAGCACTTAACTTATAAGCATTTTTAATTTTACCAAATGCGTATATAAGCCAAAAAGTATTTATAAGCCAGTTTGACCAGCTTATAAGCTTTGCCAAACACCCTCTATATAAGGAGAAAAAAGATTAAAAAATTGCTGATATTTGTGAATCACCTTTACCATTAACATCTATCTAAAGGAGAATAAAGGGAGAAATAGAAAAGGTGAAGATTCTATCTGACAAATTCCCCCCTTTTTCTTCTGCAGAATTTTAGATTTCTGTTCTGCTGTGGCGTTAACCTCAACGTAAACTACACCATACCAACAAACCCCTTTACACGCATATTGCAAGAGTAATATAATTCCTCACTTTTCTTGAATTTCTCAATTCCCCTTATTTTCCCAGCTTCAGGTTCTTTCTTTATTTCGACCCACCATTTTTTTATTAAAAGATTAATTTTTTTCTTGTTATTTTGCAAACTTTGTCGTTTTTCTTGAATTAGTCTATGAATCTTGAGCTGGATTTAGCTCTGTAATTTGCATGGTTTGTGCTACAACAATTTGGTTCATTATCTTGATTTCATGTGTCTGTGATTTGTGTGTGATGCATTATGTTGTTTTGAATGGAATATAAGTTGTTGTTCAGGACATATTTTGATTATCATGCAATACCCAGATCTTATTACCTTTTTTTTTTTTTGGTCTTGGTTGATATTTCTGTATGAGGCTATGAGCCTCATATTGAATGTTTTTGCTAGTGTTCGCTGCATAGGCAGAATTAAGATATAAAGGCAGTGAATTAGGTGTAGATACTGTCTATTATTCATATACATTACTTAAATTCGATCTTAAAGGCAGTGGATTCGGTTGAACCTGCTAAAAAGGCTAGATCCACCTCTGGTTGCTATGTCTGTTTATTCAATGTTGTTGGTTTCTGTTTAATTTTGGGTTGTTTTACCAATAAAGTTCACATCTTTTGCATACTTCACCCTACTTGTGTAATTTGGTCCTTTCGAAACATGTTTATTAATTGGCCATTCCATCTAATTTGATCCTTTTTACTGCATAACCTATTGTAGCTAAGAAATTGTTTTCTGAAATCAGATTGAAATAGGGAAAAAAGATTGAAATAGGGATTATATTGAGCAAATGCAATTCATGTAGCTTAGTTTTGTTTCATGCTTTGCTTGGTGCTTGCTCGGAGCTAGTTTCAGTAAGGGGTTTAAAATATAAAGAATTAAACATACGAAGAAGTCAAGGAGATTCAACATCTACTATATATACAAACAAAATAATTTTGACTCTATATATAGTGTTATTTTTCGGCTTAGGGGGTTCAGATAAACCCGCTTCTGCCCCCTTGGCTCCACCCATGCTTGCAGTGTCTGTTTATTCAATTTTCTTGTTTCTGTTCAAATTGGATGTTTTAGCAATATAGTTTGCATCTTTTGGGTACTTTAACCCCCAACATTTGATATTTGGTCCTTTTTCACATGCTTATTTAATTGACCATTCCATCAAATTTGATCCTTTAACCAGCATAACCTACTATTGTGAAATGTTATGTTTCTGATTTTGGATAGGGATTACTATGAGCAGATTATTTCTACGACTTACTTTTCGTTTTTTGATTAAATGGTTGTTGCTCTTTATTGCAGGGCCTCTCTTCCTCTTTTGCAGAAGAGGTCCACAGAGGACCCTGGGAAAGAAGTTAGAGGGAGGAGGCCAATGGATTTTGAAAGCAATAGCTGGATCGGGGAAAGGCTGTGTTACTACACCAGGCTTTTTGGTGGAGTCATGCTAACTGCAGCCTTGCTCGGGGTGTCTACTAGCTATTTTACAGGGATCAGTGTTCCTACTCTACCCCACCTTTTACCCAACCTGAATATCCTCCGTAAAAAGAAGCGTGGGAAGAAACGTATTCGTGTTTATATGGATGGGTGTTTTGACCTAATGCATTATGGTCATGCAAATGCGATAAGACAAGCTAAAGCGTTGGGAGACGAGTTAGTAGTTGGAGTTGTTAGTGATGAAGAAATTGTAGCTAATAAGGGTCCACCTGTTTTATGCATGGAAGAAAGGTATTGATTAGTTGCTGCATCTTTCATTGATTAGATTTTTATATTTGTTTCTCTTATCTGCAAATTATCTTGTACAGCAAAAAAATAGTTTAATGCATAAAATTTCTGTCTGATGCCTTATTTGTTCAAATGGTGCCGTAGAGAGCTGTACTTTCAGTATCTACCTTAGGAATGTTAGCTTCACCTTTATATAACATGAAGGTTTAAAGTCTAATCCACTGTGGACTAGAGAACATGCGCTTTAGTCTCCCTCTTTCTTCTCCACCCTGCCTGAATAGGATAGCTGAAGAACAAATCCACTCTACAGAAAGGTCGAATTTAGTTGCTGAAATTGTTTTGATAAAATGCAATATGATTGGCGGCAATGGACTGAACCAAGACTGAGAATTATAGAATACACGAGCCAATGGCAGTTTTTAAGAGAAATCATAGTAAAGTTGGTACTGAGTTGGGGGCAATCTCACATTTAGTGTAGGATGACATACTATGGCCTTGCTGATAACAATTTGTTATCATGATTAAGATGTATTAACTAGACGCACTGATTCAAGTCCTCATTAACTATCCATATAAATGATCTTGACTATAAATACGTAATATTTTTCAAGATTCCACTTGAGTAAAATGATAGCTAAACATTGTGAAATAATGTCATAATAACACCCCCTATCGTCGTTTCCTGCATTGATTCGGTGGCTAATTTGCCTTGTCTATTGGTCCTTTGGCAAAGGCAGAAACTGAGACAATCTCTTCAATGAGTAGCAAATACCCTTTGAGATCCCATCCCTTATGCATTTTATCCCAGCACCATATCTAGGCTGGAGGTCTGTGGCCCAGTTCAGGACGTAAGTTGATGGATGACCTGTTACCAGCACTGTCCATCGAAGTCTTGACCTTGCTATTCTTGATGAGCCTAAACAGGTTTTTTGACATAAAGTGGATTATGGAGAGAAGTTTCTTCCTTCAATTTATGCCTATTGGCTCCGTGTGTAAAGATGTAAATGTCTTTTAATTCATAGAAGTTCAAGTATAATTTACCATTCACTTCAATTACTTGACAAAGAATTTAGTGCCACTTATTTATGTGTTCCTTATGTAATGCTATTTTATTTCATCAATTCAACTGTTTCAGTTTTCCCCAACCTTAAAATGTCGTCTAATTTTAAGATCTTTTGCAGACTTGCCCTTGTTAGTGGGCTGAAGTGGGTGGATGAAGTAATTGCCAATGCTCCTTATGCAATTACTGAGGATTTTATGAACCGTTTGTTTAATGAGCATAAGATTGATTACATTATACACGGCGATGATCCCTGTCTACTTCCAGATGGAACTGATGCTTATGCCCTAGCAAAACAAGCTGGTCGGTACAAGCAGATTAAACGCACTGAAGGTGTCTCCAGCACAGACATTGTAGGTACTATATCTCTCCTATTCTAGTTCAGTTTAAGTATTGATGCGTAATCACATCATCCAATCTATTAAGCTAATATAGCTAAAATTTTCCAGATATATGCCATATTGATCCTTTACAAGATTGTGTTCTGTATACAATGGACCCTCCCCCACCTCAGATAGTTTAATTGCAAACTCTTTCCTCTCCCACCCATAGTTTTTTACTTTGTGCTTACATATGTATACAATGTACAGAGGCCTAGCTGATAATATCAGAAGACTTGTGTATAGTGGTTTTTCAGAATACTTTTTAGAATCAAATGATTTTCCCAAGACTAGCAAATGAAAATAAATCAAAGACTGTTCAGGAAACATCCTAGAAAAATGAAGAAAAGGAAATGTTTCCTGGAACCATGTCGTAGGAGCGTTGAGAATGAGAATGTTTTTGTTTTTCTCATACATTTTCCGATCATGTTTTGTAGGAAGGATTCTTTCATCTGCTAAAAGTATTTCTCAAGATAGCACTAAAGCATCTCTCCCTGGAGATGATAATATGAATGGTGTATATGCCGAGGAAAAAATGGCGAACATTGATCAGATATCTCATTTTCTGCCCACATCTAGACGAATTGTGCAATTTTCAAATGGAAAGGTACCACAAGCTGTACTCTCTACTTATTATTTATGCATCATGCTAAATTAAGTTTATTATTCCTTTTTCCATTTGATTCCAATTTGAACATTATGAGTGTCAATTTAAGACTAGTTGTAGAATTAGAATTTTGTTGGAGCCTTTACGTCTGAATCTATACTTCACAGTGATCAAGGATAAAGCTTCTGTAAATGTCGGCTCAGATGATATCTGAATAGACATACACTAGCATAATTTTATGTTGAATGAAGGCCTCGCTCATAGGGTTGATTAATCAGAAAACATAAGGTTAACTTGGGTACTATTGACTAGGGTGTTTTCTGGGAGATAATAGTTCCTTTATGCTTCGGGCAAAAGAAAATTTTGTTCCATTAACATGTATTAATAATTGTAACAGCCAACCATGTACCCTCAATCGCATTCATATGGGATATCATACGGATCTGGCGATGCTTGAGTAAATGAATTCACTTTTGACGTTGAAACAACAAAAAGTGGTGATAAAGTTACTTCCTGTTAGCTCATGGTGATTTACAGAAAACACTAAGTCTCACTTTTCTGTCTCATTGCAATTATTTCTGTTTGAGTTTCTCCTTTTTTTTGGAGCTTTACAATTAAATATTCTCCTACTTTTTTATTCTTAGGGGCCTGGGCCAAATGCTAGAGTTGTGTATATTGATGGTGCATTCGATCTTTTTCATGCTGGCCATGTTGAGGTAAATCTCTAATTTTGGATTTTTGATATTGTCAAGCTTTATTATGTATACATTGTGCAATCATATGTGTGGCTTTCACCTTTATAAATATGTCTGAGATATTGTTACTCTGAATGATTTATGAACTGTCTGTTAAGTTTCTTTCTTCTACTTGGATGCTAATGCTAAGGTTCATGCGTTAAGATGCTGTATAAGTCAGGATCCTTGATGATGTTGAGAATTACAAGTAGCATTTTATATTAATTGCAATAAACTCTTTTGAACTGTCAAAGCTCATTATATAATAGTAGAAGATGTTTACTGGTATACTTAACTATTGATCTTTTTCTTTTGCCTCTTATAGATGATATACTTAAGCTTCAAATTCTCGTCTGTAACCTGACTTTAGTGTCATTCACTTTTTTATTGTGCTCCATAGTTCATTAAAAGAGTGTCTTCTCGTTCAGCATTAGTATACAGTTTTTTGAATAAGTTACTTTTTCTCCCACTCAGATTCTTAGAAGTGCCAGACAGCTTGGAGATTTTCTTTTAGTTGGAGTTTATACTGACCAGACCGTAAGGTATGTTCATGTTTCTACTACTTGCCTGTTCTTGGTTTGACTCTAATACTTTCCAATAACTTCCTTCAAAGTGGCAACCCTAATTTTATTTGTCAATGGGCAAACTGCACTGTCAATTGAACGGCTCTGAGGTTATATTTTTAATGAAACCTTATTTGGTTAACATTTAGAAGTACAAGAAAATTCTTATTTTCAAGATACTTTGAGTGTGTGATTGTCTCTGTATTAATACTTGCATGTTTAGATACCATGGTTTCTTATTAGTTAGGACTTCCGAAATTTCTCACAGCACTCCTTCAGAACCTGTGGTTATCTCATTTAACCAACATTTTTATGAGTAGGAATTATAGAGAATTAACAATTTTTATTTCTTGCAGTGAACTTCGTGGACATCAGTATCCACTGATGAATCTGCACGAGCGAAGTCTTAGTGTACTTGCCTGCCGCTATGTTGATGAGGTCATTATTGGTTCCCCTTGGGAAGTGACCCAGGATATGGTATTGCTTGCTTCAACCTCCTAGATGTGTTCTTTCTCTCTTATTTCTATTTCTTTTAGATTTATCTACTTAATTGCATTTATTGTTTATACAAAAGATAAGCAAAACTGCTGCTTTTTAAAAAAGGGAAGTTTCTTCTGTTTTTGTTGATTTCGTATTGATGAAAAAGAAGGAAATGGGGAAATTTTGCTTATGACTCACCTGGCTATGTGTACTTGACCCTTTGCTCGGTGATAAAAGTTATCCGGTTCTCTCTGGAGAAAAGCATTTATTAGGAAGGCAAACCATACATTTGGCAGATAAGTCTTTGCACCATGGTATGAACTGTTACACACTTCAGATTTTGTCAGAAATTGTCAGAAAAGAGAAAAAGGTTTCGTAAACTGATAGTTCAAGGCTTAACAATTGAAACTTTGGGTAGTTGTTAAAAATCCCTACATTCTCATGTAGGCAAGGGTGGTGGCCTGTTATATTGGTGGACCCAATATGACTTGGGAGTTCATACTCTCCCTTTACCTGTATACTAGTTGTGAATTCTCCAATTTTTGTAGAATCATATTAATCCTGTAGAACTGTGTAATGCTCAGTCCTTGATTCACCATACCACAGCAGATATGGTTCATCACCATATTTCTGCTATAGCTGAACGCGGATTTCTCTACAGTTTGTAGGTTATTAATACTGCTCGAAACATTCAACAAAAACACTTTAAAATGCAACAAGATAAAATAAGAACCTCAGGAGGTGAAGCTCTTTGCCGTTCTTGCACATGAGCTTTCTGTTTTAACAAGTCATGTCCTTTTGTTAAAATTAAATTGTTCATTTTTCCCTCATCCCTGCTCTTTAACCGGCAAGGAGGAACAAAGTACTTTACATTTCTTATTGGTCACTAATTTATTCTCCCCTTTTTTTTTGGCATGGGCAGGTAACAACTTTCAACATTTCTGTGGTTGTACATGGAACAGTTTCTGATAGGAACACTTCTACAGGAGTAAGTCTCTGCACATTTTGATAGTTGCACAATGAATAACATTTTCCATCTATCGATAAAAAAATAGAACGAATATTTTCCAAACTGCTAAGGCATTAAATATAGAAGCATGTTCTTGAGGAAATGTTTTGGCTGATGCAGGAGAGACATGATCCCTATGCAGTACCTAAAAACATGGGAATCTTCCGAGTAATTGATAGTCCTAAAGATATTACAACCACTTCGGTTGCTCAAAGGATCATTGCCAACCACGAGATATATGTGGTAAGTGGCATTACCCATTTTGTTAGTTAGTCAGTAATATGCACCTAATGATTACATACACTCAGAGAGAGAAAAAGACGGAAGGGAGTCAACTAACTGTTCTACTATCAACTTAATTAAAAGGTGGCCTCAGTAGTAGATTCGTCTTTAAGTTCAACTAACTCCATGTGTATTTGTCTTTTAAGTTTTCTGTGGTTATCAGGGCATATGCACCTATCTTTATTTATTTAGTGATCAGTTTGCTAGTTTAGAAGGGGAGCCTTGGTATAACTGGTAAAGTTGCTGTCATGTGACTAGGAGGTCACAGGTTCGAGCCGTGGAAACAGCCTCTTGAAGAAATGCAGTGTAAGGCTGCGTACAATAGACCTTGTAGTCCGGCCCTTCCCCGGATCCCGCACATAGCGGGAGCTTAGTGCACCGGGCTGCCCTTTCTTTTTGCTAGTTTAGATAAACCATTACTGCAGAAAAATAGAACATTATAGCTGGTGTTTCTCACCTATTCACAGATCTACCCTTTGATTGAACAGAAATGACAATACTGAAAAATGAGCCTATGAATTCCCTTTCTTTTTAAATTTTTTTCCAACTAAAACGAAGGTTTGTTACTTGTGATACCTAATCAAATTAGAAAAGAATATTACTTGTGACAATGAACTGTAGTTTAGTCATGCTAGATACATCTTTCTGCTTGGTTATGTATTTAGTTTTGCATAATCACGTGAAAATGGTAATGTGTTTTGGCGAATAACGGATGGCTCCTTGACTTGCGCAGAAAAGAAATACCAAAAAAGAAGCAAACGAGAAAAAATATTATGCAGAGAAACAGTATGTTTCAGGCGATTAAGTTTTATGTTACAGTCTCCGGTGTGACCTCTTGTAGCTGACTTGTAATTTATGCAAAGCTGCTCGTTTTCAAGATAGTTCATCCCGTGTTTGTATTTGTAAGATATATAACGTTCAAGGAGGTGCCAGGATATAACAAGAAAATTCATAGTCAGAAGATCTAGATTTTTTTTAAAAAAATTGTCTTTTTGGGTTGTAATCATCTTCGAGTGATTCCAAGATCTGGAGCTAATTTGCTAACCTCAAACTCATATTGATTCTTGTAAGTTAAGAAACTATTGTTCTATTCTTATTCTATAGTAAATCTGCTTTCCAATTTCTATTAGCAAACCTTGATTAGTCGACTGTACATAATTATGCCTTATTACTAGTGGTGATTACAAGCTTGTATGGAGAAGATGAGTTGAGTCCCTAAGAAAAGACCTTGATAATCCTGTATTTCCGAGTTCAAATATGTCAATTAATTCAGGTCGTCTCTCGTATGGAGAGCCAACCATCTACAAATGCCCATCGACATCCAAAATAGTATCTTACATCCATTTTTGGCATAGGATAAGAGTGGATAATTTCCCGATCAATATCAAAATAGTAAGATCTACCTAACTGACTTAATGTCCAAAAGATTGCTCCATTGAAGAAAACTCCCTTACCACAAACCAATGAGCAATGATATGGTTCTGGGAACAGAGCTCGTGAAATCTTCCAGGATTTTGTCTCTGAAGAGTATATCTCAATAAGGTAACGACGAACACAAACAACTTTGTAATGACATGATATTGAACTGTCAATGTCAAAGGCCAAGGTTATTAGTGCCTTCAATCACTTCAGCACTATGAGAATACACAATTTGATGTTCAACTGTAGCAGTTTTTTGAGACTTCTTCACACGTTTGTAGGAAGCCATATCTCTTTGCTCGTGATGTTCCTTTCAAGTTTACCAACCAACGCACGCTTAGCCTTCAAGATCAAAAGAAATCGAAGAAGAAAACTTTAAGGAAAAAAGGGAGGGAATCGAAGAGTATCCGGAAGTCTGAAAATCGTGTACATCAAGTCTGTATATATACTTTTGGAAAATAAACATAAATAGAATGAAATAAAATAAATACTGGGCTAGGCCCCTTTCTTCTACTTCTTATAAACTGTTGAGTGGGCCTTGGCCTGCATTAGACCTTCTCTAACTCAATTGGACATTTGGGCTTCCAAGTTAACATGCCCTTTCTTTTTAGCGAGTTTTATGTAAAAATAGCACGGACTACTAAGTTTTCGGACTGGTAATTGAAAAATAGTCATCGTTTACAAAGTCATTAAAAAATAGCCATTATTTTGCTGCAACACGGAAAACTCCAGTATAATATACTGGAGATTGGTGCACCTGTGTATGAACTTCCAGCACACGAAAAGTTCAAACATAATATACTGGAGATTGGAGCACCTGTGTATGAACTTCCAGCATATTATGCTAGACCAGTATATTATGCTGGAAGTTCACATGTAAAAAATTCGAACTCCAGTATATTATGCTGGAATATTTTTTCGAATTTTGAACAGTGTTTTCATTCAGATTTATCTTTACATGAAAAGTGGCTAATTTTTGATTACTTTTGAAAATGTGATTATTTTTCAATTATCACTTGTAAATCTGGCTATTTTGAATTTCACCCGAGTTTTATAGATTTACCCATAAAACCCAAACTAATTACCTTTGTTTACCCATTTATTTTTCTACCCATTAAACTAGTTACTTTTCCTACCCATTGTAGCTTTTGTGGGTAATTGGCTATTTTTTATCCTTTACTTTTTTCTCCTTTTTATTTATTTTTTTCTTTTTACTCCTTTTCTGTTCCTTTTTTAAATCATATTGTTCTTTATTTTATTATTTTTAAATAATCTGATTCCATACGCAATTTTGCCTCCTTTATTTTATTTTATTTTATTTTTTCACTTTTTTCTTTCCTTTTGTTTATTTTCTTTATTTCTTCTTCCTTTTCTAAATTAATTTAGCTCATTTTTTTTATTTTACTTTTTTTCTACATAATTTAATTACATTCACTTTTTTTCTCCTTTTCTTTATTCTTTTTTTATATAATAATAAAAGATAAGTAATATATTTAATATTTATTCACCTTCTTTAATATAACTGATAGTATAATATATTATTTATCTTTATTTTTTTTTCTTCTTTAAATCAATTATTAAAACAACTTATACATTATACCTGTTTTCTCCTCTCTCTTTTTTCATTGCATTTTTATTTTTTTAAAATATATGTATTATAGTAAATATTTCTAGCACATAGGATTCAAAATTATATATCATTATAATAAAATGGTATATTAGTATAATAAAATCACATATTAGTATTTAATGTTATTGTAAAATACTTGTCACAATAATATACCAAAACTGCATATAAATATACCAAATAGCTATATTACTATTTTATGTCTTCCGACATCTACTTATACAATGAATATTATTTTCATGGAACTCCATAAAAAAATCATTTAAGAAAATATTTGCAAAGACATAGTTGGAAAAATTAAAAGAATTAAAAAATAACTTATTTATTACAATATACTATGAAATTATATTGTATACTGTGACAATATAATGTTACTATAACCATGACTTTAGCTTTGGATAATAACACCTAGATAACTCAACAAATAGCAGTCGAAGTATATTATTATGGTATATTATATACTATTACAGCATATTGTTGTAGTATATTGCATATTATTACACCATACCATTACAGTATATTATATATTATAATAGTATACTGTTGCAGTATAGCTATATACTCCTACAGTATATTATATACCGTAGCGGTATACTGTTAGGTAACTGTGTTCTTCTTCCATTATTACAGTATACCATTACAATATATTATATACTATAACGGTATACTATCACAATATAGCTATATACTCCTACAGCATATTGTATACTATAGTGGTATACTGCTGGGTAACTATGTTCTTCGATTTTCAGCTAAACAATTCGATCTCAAATCAACTCCAAATGCGAATAAATTTTACTATAAACTTCCTGAAAGTACTATAAGTAATATTTTACAGCATCCACTTTGAAATAAATATCAGATCTAAAAAATAAAATTTCAAATTTAGGAGCTTCAAACTTAACAATGGTGGGTCTTCAAACACACAATTTTTTTGATCTGTGAAGCTTAATATACAACCACAACAACATGGGCTCAGAAATAAAAATAAATACACAAAAAAGAATATACTAATATAGAAAGAGGATTTTGGAGTGAAACTCATGTAAAATAATATGAAAATTTATCTTTTAAAATTTATATAGAAAATTCTAAAATAATATTGGGTATATGCATGGGTTTGTACTGGATTTTCATCATCCACTAAAAAGACTAAGTTATGGGGATTTTTTTGAAAGGGGAAAAGAACGTTTGGGATGTAGGACTCTGCTTGTTTAGAGAAATTGAAAAGGGAAAGGGGATTGGGTAGACGGGTAAATACTTTAGGCCGTATAGGTAGAAAAAGTAAATCCTTTTGGTTTGGGTATTAAAGAGTAAATAGTTTGGGCTTAATGGGTATAAAGTGAGATTTTTTCTTCTTTTTAAGGGCAAAATACAAAATTGGCTGTCGATCGAAGCTAGTCTCATTCACTAGCCAAAAATTTATAAAACTTTTATAATTTTTTATATATATTATCGGCTATTAATTTTAGGAGTGACTAATAATATACTTTTTTTAACTCAAGCGAACAACTTTATTAAACTTAATCAGACACCTACAAGTTTACAATAAAATTAGTAATATGCTACCAATAGAAAGGACTAGTATAATTTTTAAATTAGCAACTAAATTTTCTTGCCTCTTAACCCAAACTTAAACCCAAACTAAAGAAACATTAGAATTTCTCTTTTAACAAAAAATGACTATCATCTAATAACACTCCGACCTCTATAAAATCTACATATGAGGAGTAGCAAGAAAGCACAAATTCGTGGGCATCTCATTCAACTATACCCGGGCATCAAATTATTGAAACAACCATCCAAGAGCAAAACGCAAATCTATAATTTCAGCATGGTAGGACTGACACAGTCTTAAAAAATCAAAGAAGCTGCAACTATAAAGTGACATGCAAAATCATGCACAATAGCCGCTACTCCATTGCACTCTGAAGCAAGGAAGATAGCTGCATCAATATTGCATTTTCAGGTTCCACGTGGAGGCTTGGACCAAGAAATAGTTATAACCCGAGATGAAGCACACACAACTAGGGGTGTTCATGGTTCAGTTTGGATAAATTTTTCCTTAAAAAGAAACCAAACCAAGTAAGTCGGTTCATCAAATATTGGAACCAAACCAAACCAATAAAGTCGATTTTTTATCGATTTGGTTTTTGTCGGATTTTTGGTTATTTATCAGTTATTTTCTTAAATATGAGCATACACTACCAAACAAATATTCCGACGACTACATTTTCAAGGTAACACTATCAAACCAATTCTCTTTGAGAAATCTATCATTTACCAGGATATTGATGATAATTGAATCAAATAGTGATGAATAATTTAAGTACTCAATTAAAAATCGATTATTTTTAGCATGAAATAAATTCTTATACTTAGCAAAATAAAACTACCAATCAAACTAGAATGTAAATGAAAAGAATTAGATTATTATAATAGCAAATAACTAGACTAAAAATACTAATGACTAATATGTATCATAAAATTTTAGAAACTTTATATAAAAATATACATACATA